TATATATATATATATGACATTCTGATATGCGGTGGGAATATGTCGAACCTCAGCACTTACCGCCCCTAGCGAGAGACCGTTAACCCGTGAGGCTTTGAATATGGCAAGCCTGATAACATGCGCATAAACTTCACAAGCCAAAACATAAACCTAAAGGCTAAAACCCTTAAGCCTTAAGCCGCACGCCTTATCCTTATCGGTACCCGAACCCTAGAACACTAGACCAGAAAGCCAGGCCCTAAACCCTGGGCCCTAGAACCTTACAGCCCTAGACTTAAACCATATCAGGTTTGAGTCTTGTCCATATTAGCTTGCATGACTTCAATAAGGACTCATCTTATCCTATTGCCACGCCGAAAACCTAGGTCCTAAAAGACTGACCCACATGACCAGTGCTCTACAAGTCACAGCAAAGGCTCACACTCGGACCGAAGATGGCCGATGGTGACTGTCTCAACGGCATTCATGAACTCATCCTTGGCTGCGTCCAGCTCCTTCTGCAACTGCTCCCCAACTTCAACCATACTCTTCTGGGCATCGGCTTTCTTCGACTTCAAGTCCTGACAGAGCGTCGCAACCGCCTGGTACTTGGCCAGGGCAGGCTCACAGAGCTCTTGTAGAAACATCTCACGTGGGCTCTGGCCCTTCAAGTCGCAAGTAGCCTGCCGAAACTCCTTCAGAGCTGCTTGGGCTTCCTTCGCCTTTCCACTGGCGACAACCCGGCTCGAAGCCGCATCCAAAAGGACCTTGCCGGTGGCGTGCTGCGCAAAGAAGCGAGCAAGGGCTGACAGATCATGCGCGGAATCTTCCTGGGCATCTTCCGAGTTCTCTTTGTTCTCCAGATGGGCTTGCGCCTCCTGCAGACTTAGGACAGCCGTGCTGAGGAGGGTCAAGTCCTTGCTGCCTAAGGTGAGAATGGAGTGGACCATCCGGACATCCACACAGAGCTCCTGGAGGATGAAGTTGTCGCCTTCATTTTGCTCAGTTGCCAGCATGGACTCGCACAAAGCCGACGCGTCCAGCAGCGAACCTTCGAGCCTGTTTGAGCCGAAAGCCCTCAGCTCTTGGGGCGAGACTAATCGCATAAGCAGGATCAAGCGGTTCTCACACTCCGCAGTGACGTGTTGCTGCAGCTTGTCCCGGCCCAAGGCCTGTGAGAGGCTCTCCATCTGGTCCAACTTGTCGCGCTTCCACAACAACATTGCGCAGAACTTGTCATACTCTTGGTACAGACAGCACAAGTTGCCCTTTGCCAAGACGTACTTCAAGCTGAAGACTGGGCCCAAGGCCTTCGCCGGCTTGAACAACGAGTTCTGACAAGCCTCAAAACTCGCCTCATAGGCCTCAACCATCTTCTCCGCATCTGGTGGGTCTGCACCAGCAACACCCAGCAAGGACTCAAAGGTCTGCGCGGTTGTTGAAACCTGGATCTGTGGAGGAAAGGAAAAAGCGAGATAATAAGCAATAGTCACCACAATAGTCAATAGTCACAATAGTCACTCAAACAATTATCATACGGCATACATTATCATACCCAAAATTTCATATGCCATGATGAAGGAGATCCTTAGTTTAACAGTTTATCAACATGTATATTAAATTTGTGCTGACTAATAGTTCCCAACAGAATTTGGAATACGACTTTTGTTACTAATTAGGG